TGACCATAACAGCCTAATAACCATTCGACTAAGTGACCATTTGGCCTACTAATCTTCAGCCGACAGCCCAGTATCCACCCTGAGCAATCAATATAACTTGTTTGATATATCTCATGATAGGTCCTGGTATATATTAGAGGTACGAACCACGTCCCCGAACGTTCAGGCAAATGTTCTGATGTGGTCAGTTGGTCCTGGGTACTCAATATGATCACCAGCTATCATGTTTTTAAAAGTTTCTTTGTTTCTAAAATCATCATCACATAATTCAGAAGCTCTTCCTTTGATATATTGAGTTATAGAATCATCATAAAACTACATAGATCATCTACCAAAGGAGCCATCGAATTACTAAAAAGTTGATTTTTAGAACTCATCAACTGTATGAACTACCCTGATTTCTCGAAACACTGCATACTCAAAACTAATGCTTTAGACACAAACAATTTATTCCTCCTAAGTACGGTTTTTGGATCACTTGTTATTGTTACAAACCCAAACCAAAAACTTCCTAGAACCAGTGCCGTATTGACGGTAGGGCGATGGTGGGCTAAAACCAGGGCCCCCGTTTGGAGGGCGCCCCTGGTTCAAATACGTCTATCATATCCTTCTCAATAATATATTTCAAGAAATTAATTGTTGGTTAGCTTTTACATATACTGTCAGATTACATTGAAGCAGTTATGCCGGTAGTGTGGCCAACATTTCTAGAGTCGTGGGCATATTTTCTACAGCTCTACGGTGTTAGACAAAAGTGCTCGGTTTACAAAGCACCATCTTTTTAAGGTTTTCTGTTTAGTTCTTGTTTCCACCGCCTAGAATGTGCTCGATTTTATCCTTTAAATTGGGTATTCTAGGGACTGGGTCTCTTGGGTTAAGTTGTGCATTTGATAATATTGATACCTATGATTTACAGAAAGGAAGCTTATTTTAAAAAAAAAAATAGCGCATTCATCTTTGCTGACGTATATAGGAAAGAGTCTAGGATTGTGATACGTTGGGGTTGGGGTAAGATGGAGCAAACAGGTTGAAGGAAACCTACGGATCATTTCGCAATAATTTATTGGTAATCCGTTTATTGCAGCTCTTGAATCACGAACCACTCAATTTGGTTAAGGTTGTGCATTGAACTGTAATGTTTACGTTTGGTGTATTTTTGGACTAAGTGTGTTTTAGTAAGCCAGAACTGGAAACCAGAAGAAGATGAATTTTCTGAACCCAAGTAGTATCGCAAGCTTTATCAAGATTTCAAAGCATCCTATAAGTCCAAATCATGTGCAACAAGGCTGTGATAAAACCAAAAATGCTATTTGGGAAATCGGTTTGCATTTCCTATATTATATCAGGGGCCCGCAATAAAAAATAGATCGGGGCCCAAGGGTGATCAAGACGGCCCTGCCTAGATCGAACCGAGAATCGAACCCAGCCGCCTCTAGCTTGGTTTATAGCTGCGCCTTTACCGACTGAGTTGAAGGAGGTCCCAGTATTTGACATATTGACGACGAAAATATTGATGAATGAAAAATCTAAAAAGTTTGATTTCGGTTTTTAATATTGCACCTCATTGTCCCCTACTCTTTGACTACAGCAGGAGATGGAGCCTGTTCCTGGGCATCTTTTGTCGGAAAAGTTGTCATTTGTCTCGGAAAAGTCCATAATAAGAAGCAGCCTTGTATTGATGAAGCACCAACATTATTGTTGAACATATTGATAGTGTGAGGTGCACTCGGGAGCTGGACATTTCGCCGAAGGACGTTTTACCGAAGGACGTTTCGCACAAGGTCATTTTGCCTAATGGGTAATTTCACCGAAGGTCATCTCACCGAAAGTGTCATTTCGCCGAAGAGCAAGCCATTATCTAAAGCTTGAGCCATTTAATATCTGGACGCACTGTTTATTTTACTACAGTGCTCCTAGCGGTCGGATGTGGAATGTTTTGACAGCAGTTTGTTTTGAAATGTTTCCTCTTTCAGTGCTGAAAAGTTCGTCACGATTCATTTTGTTTAAAATAAGTTATGCTTGATGGAAGCCACGAACCGAAAATTAATTTTGGACACTCACTTGGAAATTCCGACGTGGTGAGATTTAAAAATCGCGAGGTCGGTGGAATTGGCTAAATCGACCATGTGCAGTGTTCTCAAACGTTTCCGTGAGTGGCATACTATCGATCAGCAGGATCATAGCAAGTGACATAGTGGAACTAGAATCGGAAGCTGTATTTGAAGGTGTTGAGAACGGTTAGGGCAAACCCAGGGCTGTCGGATTATGATGTCGCAAAAAAAAAATTCAATGCCAGCCAAAGTACCATCAGAAGGATTCGTCAGCAAGAAGAATTTCGATCTTTTCGGGCTAGTAAGCAACCAAACAGGACACTGAAGCAGAATCTAGTGGGTAAAAGACGTGCCAGGAAGTTGTACAATGAGATTCTTACAAAGTACGAAGGATGCATCCTCGTGGACGACGAAACGTACGTGAAGCTGGATCATGGGCAAAAGTTCTCTAAAGCCACTTGTCGAGGTGATGACCCTAGCCAGTTCAAATTCGTTTTTGCCGATAATTGCAAGAAAGCTTATGATCTGGCAAGGTATTTGCAGCTGTGGACAAACAAGACTATAGATTCCAAAATGTATAAGCAGGAGTGCCTGAAAAAACGAATTCTTCCGTACATTAAGGCTCACAATGGACCTGTATAGTTTTGGCCTGATTTGGCGAGCTGCCACTACTGCGGAGAAGTTCTACAGTGGTACCGAGACAACGGGGTAGATTTCTTCGAAATTAACATAAATCTACCCAACTGCCCTCAATTCCGCCCTATTGAGAAATATTGAGCAATTGTCAAACAGAAGTTAAAGAACAGTGGAAAGGTGACTTGAGATGCCACCGAGATAAAGAGATGGTGGAACAAAACGGCCATTCAGGTTAGCCAACAGAGTGTCCAAAATATGATGAGTGGAATTCGAATAAAATTTCGAGATTTCATCAAAATCAAATCGGAATAATTTGTTTCGCTATGTTTCTTTTAAAATGCGTCATTTATTGCATTGGATATATTAATATTCATTTTGAGTACTCAACATTTTTTATTTCACTAAGATGGTTCCAAAATCCATCCGTTTTTTTACATCCAGATATTAAATGACTCAAGCGTTACGGGGTTGAACTTTTCTCAAAGCTCAGTACATTTTGAAATTAGTCTCGAAAAAAGATTAAGAAGATTCGTTTTTTTTAACCTGGCAAGCTATTCAAATGTAATGCTTACTTCCTTTGAACATTAGCAGTTCTTTCGAGTTGTTCTGATTTCAGAAATTTTTAATCCTTTGGTTTGTTTTTTCCGTCGATCTTGTTTTCCGTGCTGAGCACCAATGCTACCGACGTGCCAGGAAGGCAGTTCCCACACCTGGACCCTACCTATCGACCCATCAACTCATGAACCGGGGACCAACGGCTTTACTTCCCATCCGAAGGAAGGCGTGATCAGAGATGTTATGCCTCAGTGAATTAATGATTTAAATTTGTAGAAATTATTCCTTCTTTTAAACATGAGCAATTCTTTCGAATAGTACTGATTTCAGTACTGACCCATTCGGCGAAATGACACATCCCCGCATTTAACATCTCGAAGAGAATATTTGTCGGTTATGTAACGAGGAAACATAAATTTCTGAACATTTATTATGCAACTGTGTAGCACTTCTTATCAGAAGGGCAAAGTTCTTCGATAAGGGACTGCTACAGTTCTTAGAAATATGGTATTCATCTCCTAGTAAGGTCGTGCGTTTCATACGACACATAATTTCTTGCTGGGTATATACCTAAAGTCAGGCGTTGATGGCTACTTTTAATAATAATATAAGATAAGGTTAACAAAAAACCGGAGAATATACTACAATAGATCAAATAAATGATCGCAGTGGTAATGTACCCAAAAGTAAAAAAAAACATGTCTTCACTATTTCAAGCATCCACTCATTGAGTTGTGCAGCCTGTTTCCGTGCAGTAATCGACAAGCTTTATACTTGGAATGACATGCTGGAGGGTAACTCCACTAATAGCGAATTCGTTTATTATCGGGGTTGGAACCAGTTCCAACCCAGTGCGAAACCGAACTTTTTATCAGTGCGAACCTCAACCTGAGCTGGGTTTTAAAAACAAACGATCGAACTGACGTTTGTCAGAAAACAAGCAGGCTCAATCTTGATACCCGATCCAGGTTGGAACTGAATAATAAACGAATTCGCTATAAGTCACTACAGTCGGTTTTGCTTCACGAACTGATGGCTTCCGTGCCCGGGGTCAGCCGGTAAGTTCCAGCAAGGAAAACTGGCCTCATACTAATCGCTACATCGAAAAGGAGACTGATCTGAGTTGGTGTATCGTTTTTATTTCCAAAAGAACAACTTGATATAAATTTGTAAAATCCTATTGATGAAGAAATCGATCAATTTACTGCAAACCTCATCTGCTTTATTAAATTCAGAGCCATTGTGGATGGATGCCAATATTCTGCTTTTCTTAATGCAGACATTAATTTAAAGACTTTTCCATCAGTCAAATCCTCTGAGAGTAAAAATTCCAAGCCTAAGAATTTTATCGGCTACATAAACAAAAATTACCATTGATAAGTAAATGGCTTTCCCATTTGAACCAAATTTCATTATCGCCCAATTATTTCCCGAATCCATCTGCAAATGCAGATCATGGGAAAATAACGATTCCGTTTATAAAAGCATTCCACTTCATTCTCTAGCTCGCTTCAAACAAGAAGAAACACATTTTCCATTCCCTACCGGTAGGCGCCGGAACTCGAGAAAATTCCGAGCGAACCGAAAAATGTAAATGTTTTAAGGATTAAGCAAACGGAACATCATCTCCGGTGCTGGAAGCAGCGCACTCGAGGAATGATTTAATTAGAAAGCGAACTCCGGTGGAATGATTTTAAATATTTATGAACCGCGTCCGCCAATGTTATTCAATTATAGTGGATTCTTTTCTTGTCTCACCTCATCCAGAGGGCAGCCGGTGGACCGAAGAACGGCATGTGATTGCAGAATTAGCAACTTGAGCAGCTTATCCTTGATCTCCGCCAGCTGGGTGGGTTTGTTCCGCAGGATGGTGATCTTGAGCGTGACTACCGAGGTCAATTCCCCGAGGATGTCGTTCACCGAGACCAGCGGATTATCGGAGATGGCGTCCAACGAGAGGGCCTTCCAGTTCTTGATGGAGATTGATCCTGGTGGAGAAAGGCGGTGTGGTGGAAGACAAGAGGGATGATTGATTTATTTTTTTGCGATTTGATTGGATGTGTACTCAATTACCTCTGGCTGCGTTGGAAATCTCCGAGGAATAGCCAAGCCGCTGCAGGGCTGTTGTGACGATATCGCAGAATGGCGTCGCTGCCGGGATGATGACGTAGCTGTCGGTTTCGATGTTCGGTCGCCGTTTCCAGGGACTCCGGGCGTCAAAGTTCAACGTTGCCTGCAGGGAGCTCACCGACTCAACCACACAATGAAGTGGCAAGGATTTAGCTGTGGAGAAGCAGAAGAGAAAATGGATCCCGTTTAATAAGGCGAAAAACTTAAAACTCGTCAATGTCGTGTCGATAAAATCTTCCAATAATCTTTAAATACCGCTTCCGAGAAGCACCGAGGAGCACCAGAAACGGCTGATGCGAAGAGCAAGCGGAAATTTTAATCCCTTTTCACTCAGTTCTCGGAGAGTGGCGGGATAGAGGAGCCGGTCGTGCACTATAACGGCAAACAGTCTTGCTCCGGATCCGGCGCTTGACAGCCAACTGCGCGCTCTATCTACTCCGACACGACGAGATAAGTCCATTTCAGAAATCATAAAATCAACATTTTAAAACATTTTTGCTTCGTCAAAATTATTAGCTGCCAACAGGGGCACTAAAAAAAACAGAATCTCATCCTCCTTAACCTTTAAAAATTATCTCTTCATTAAATTTGATTCCCCCATCATCGTTCCATGGTCGTCTCTCTCGCAGCTGAAACGATTGCCAATGGGAATTATCATCCCACCCCGTCGTCATCATCATTTGTACACCCCTCAATCCCATCCGAAGGAAGCTCTCGCCGCATCAAACAATGTCTCGACTTTTCCTCTTTCCGCAGCATCCGTGTCAAAACCGACGACGACAACACAGAAAGGGCAGAAATTTCCCAACTAAAAAGCGCTCGTTGCTAAATCCTTCCACCCTCTCATTCTCATCTGCTCTGACAAGAAGTCACTTCATTTTTAGCGGTTCCCTGAGTTGCTTTTAAGGTTCAAGATTGAAATCTTTTGACGCTTCATTTCGTTTCGTTTCCACTTGCTTCTGTTTCCCGTCGACGACGGTGACGTTGCGTTGCGTTGTGGCTTTTTCCGACCTCGCCGAACAGATGACACACACCGTCGAAATCGCGATTATGATGAGGTGAAGACGAGCTGCGCTTACGTTTCCGGTGAGCATTGTCCTTCGGCACTGTAGGTACTGATGGGAGGAAACATTTTTCGGCGTGGGATGCCGGAGAGTGAGACTTTCTTCGATGAGGTAGCGATTTTGGAAATGGTGCGGTGATCGGAATGAACAGATTTGCGATAAATGCCAATCAACGGTAATCGGAAGCGATGGCGTGGAAGTGAAGCTCGGGGTTTGCGTGGTGTTTTCCGCCGATGACGACGGTGACAGAGTTGTGCAAGGGATTTGATCTGTGTTGTTTGGAATGACAGGTAAATTGTTTTCAACTTTGATTTTCTTTTTTTTTACTGGTTGTTCAAAAACTACGTTGACCAATTTTGAGTGGTTTTAGACACATCGTAGTGTTCGGAAAATCCCGGATATAATAAACTCGAATGCGAATCTGGCAATCAAATCTCACGCTTGAGATTCTCATGGATTTTTGCGCACTCACACTCACACTGCCAAAAATCATTCCAGCTTAATACTCACAAATATCGCCCAAACATCAATTGACAACATGCTTATTATAGCATGCATGTTGTCTTAGTTATCCATCCACTGATGCAAATACACGCAGTTGAACTTTGCAAAGCAAAACTCTTTGGCAAATAAACTCACACATGAGATTTGAGATTTTGAGATTTCAGAACCCTGACACATCGTAACTGCTTTTGAAAACAATAACTTCAAACGACAATTTCACGTAGTTCACAGAGCTTAACTGAAGTTTTTGAAACTTCTCTGAATTTTTCAGATATTCCGTAAAGATCCTGAAACGTCCCGAAAGTTTTCGATACTTCCATCCTTCTTCTTCCTCGAATTTCAAGCTTATTGCTTATCGCATATTAGTTTATTGCGTGCTCCAAACTCAGTGTTCCATATGCACTTCCACAGTTATTAATTGAAAGCCTTTGATTCCTGCACCATTTTTGCATTAGTATAATTGTGTGGCAAGTACGATCATACTCCATGCCCAGAAATGTCAAGGAATTTTCCAACCGGAAAAATTTCTAGACAGGACCGGGAATTGAACCCACCTCCAGCATTTTCTTACTTTGTAGCTGCGCCTTTACCGACTGAGCGAAAGGAGTCACAAATTGTCACATTTTCCATGATTCCTTGATTTACCTCCACACTGTTACGTCGTGAATTCATAAACCGCCCCCCCCCCCCTTCTGTTTGATGAACGATGGAAAAAAATCGTGAAATGTTCCAAACACAACTACTGCTGTTCTATGGACTTCTCGGAAGTGTTTCGAACATCTCTGATATTCTACTGATTACTCAGAAGTCCAACGCATTTCTCGGAAGCTCAAGGGGTTTTTTTTTTGTTTAAGAAGATCCGCTGACCTCTCGGAAGTTCTATGGACTTCTCGGAATTTCATCGAACTTCTCGAAAGTTCTATAGGTATATTTTATTTATTTTATTTTACGGACTTCTCGAAAGATCTACGGTCCTTTAATACACTCTACTGACTTTTGGAAGTTCTGTAAATTTCTTAAAGTTCAACAAACTTCTCAAAAGTTCAATGAACTGCGTTGAATGAACTGTTCAACGAATTTCTCAAAAGTTCTACAGACTTATCGGCAGTTCTACAGTCTTTTTGGAAGCTGCACAGAATTCATGGAACTTATATAGAGCTCTTGGAAGTTAAGGGACTTTTCGGCAGTTCTACGGTCAGCTGGGATGTTATACAGTCACTCTCCACAACTCGATGTCCTCTAACTCGATATCGAGTAATAGAACCATACTAAAAATGAGTTTCATGGCTACTGCAATGTTGATTTCCTATGGGATTGTTGTTCTGTGCACTCGATAATTCTAAAGGGCTGAATACAATGAAAGCGGCATAGCGACATAGCGGCACAGTGGCAAACGCGCAATGTTCTAAAATCGCGCTAACCGTTGTACCGCACCCGCATTCCTACCCACAATGCATGCGCGCAATCTATTTGTTTTTCCTCTTCCGCTGCACGTAAACAGGATTATTTTGAATGCAGTTTTGATTTATTTGTTATTTGAATAATCTCTGATTCAGCTGAAAGTAGTGAAGAAAAATCAGTAGAATGTCTTCTGAAAAATTAATCAATCTGTAATCTCGTCTGAAATCTTGTAAAAATATCCAAGGGGCTTTGAAATTCTCTGAAATTTATGGATCGTCTCTGAATTTGAATTAACTTAAAAAAAATGAGGGAGCACTTTAAAAAAGTACCTTGAACCGTGGGAAAATATCGAGAGCTTCGGAGGAAGAGAGCTTCAGAATAGTTCTTTGGAGAAGTTTAAAGTAGTTCTGACGAGAACTTCAAAGTAGTTCTGAGGAGAACTTCAGAGAAATTCGGAAGAGAATTTCAGAGTAGTTCTGATGAGAACTTCAGAGTATTTCTGTGGAGAGTTTCAGAGTAGTTCTGAGGAGACCTTCAAAGTAGTTCTGAGGAGAACTTCAGAGTAGTTCCATTGGCCTCAGGAAAATTTCGAGAAATTTATAAAAACTCCCCGGGAGCACCCGGAACATATATGGCCAGTGTGGTCCTGAGTACTTAATATGGTCACCAATGTTCTTATTTTTGAATTCTCATATAATTTGGTGCGTCACATGAGGATGTAGGTTCAATTTTCACTTCTCCGGGGGTGTCCGGAACATGTTCGGATCTGGCCAACGTGGTGTTCAGTACTTAATATGGACATCAATGATCATATTTTTAAATTTCATATAGTTTGATGTGTCGCATGTGGGTGTTGGTTCAAGAAGAATCTGACCAGTTCCCTGGGGGTACCCGAAATATGTCCGGATGCATGGTTCTGATTACATACTACGACCTTGGATGATTATTTGGTTCACTGCTTGAAGGTTCTGGTTAAATCAAAATTACAAAAAAATAAAACTGAAAATGTTCAGCACTTCTCAGGCTGCCGCTCAACCGCACCGCATTTTTCCAAAATGTTGAAATAAATAGCGTTTTAGTACAATGCCGCTTTGCCGCAACGCGGTCATTGTGGGTTGTCAAACGGATTTCAGTGTATTGGAAAATATTCGCTTGGCGCTATGCCGCTATTTCGCTATCAGTGTGTTCAGCCCTTAAAACTCGATGCTTCCTTCAATATCGAGTTGTAGAGAATTCACTGTATTTTATAAGTTCTATGGACGTCTTAGAAGTTTTATGGACTTAGGTAGTTCTCCAGGCTTCTCAGAAGGTCTGCGGACTTCTCGGAAGATCTACGGACTTCTCAAAAGTTTTACGGGCTTCTCGGAAGATCTACGGCCTCCTCGGAAGATCTACGGACTTCTCGGAAGATCTACGGTCTTCTCGGAAGATCCACGGACATCTCGAAGAATATGCTCCAAAGCTAATGTAATCAGTATGCTTGCCTGAATAACTGCGCTCCCGTTCGCTGCGCTTTAACCCTTACTGCGCATTTTCTGCTGCATCCGCAGCTTCTTCGATGTCTTCATCTTCACCATCAGAAAAAAAACTACAACGACTTCGTATTGCTGCTCTTCATTGCTTCCATCAGCAGCGCTGATTGGTACCAACAGCTCTTGGAAATTCAGCTCCATGAAATCCACTGGCTGAGCATTTTGATCACACGTTAGGCTTTGACATCATTCACCTTCTGCTAGGACTATAACATCTCGACTGATTTGAAACTCACCGCTGTCAGGATTGTACAAACGGTAGCCTTTGGTGTCCTCACAATAGCCGACGAAGATCGCTTTTCTGACCTTGGCATGAGATCCAACAATCTTGATATGCTTGAAGTGTGACTTCTTTCTAGACCACGCCTCTTCTTGCGTTATGTTCTCCAATGACCGCGTTGGACATCGATTGTCCAGATAGGCAGCTGTAGAAACTGCTTCCGCCCAAAACTGCTTACCAAGCTTTGCATCGTTGAGCATGCACCGTGCTTTCACCACCAACGTGCGGTTCATGCCTTCTTCAAAACCATTCTGCTCAGGCGTATACGGACACGTGGTTTGATGCCGGATACCTTCATGTTCCAGAACTTAACGAAAACTTTCGTTGTCGTACTCCGTCCCATTGTCTGTACGCAAAATCTTCAGCTTCTTC